ATCTCGAAAGTATTTGCATCGAATTCCTCATGTTTTTTAACCTACTTGAGGTTATTTTTGTTATATTTGAATTGAAAATGAATGTAAACCTATCTAGTGTTTTGGGTGAAGAGCTATACATTTGATTCATACACCATTAGATTGGCCAAGAGACCAGCTTCAAAAGTACAGAGAACGTTTTGTAAAAAAATTCCTTTTCTGCGCTGAGAAAATCGACTTTTACTGGAAACAAGAGAAAATCGGTCACGTTGTTTTTGAGTAACTTTTCATTTTCAGTTTAAATATAATAAAAATAACCTCAAGTAGGTTAAAAAACATGAGGAAATCTCAATTCAGTTAACTGGATGGAAAACATGGATGAGATATCGATGTTTTTTTTCACTCACTTTTTTTACATAGATATCGTACGTATTCTTCTTTCGTCCGTTTCTATATGTGCAAAAAATATATGTATGTAATGTACACGTGTTTTAACCTAACTTTACCCTCTACAAAAAGAAAACAAATCAATTTAATACAAATTAAACCAAAATTAATAAATTAATTTTTTGAATATGACTTCTGCACAACATATGGAATACGAAAGATATAATAATGTTCAGAGACAAGAACGTGACGAGATGACAAAAGGTATCCCATACCAACAGAATGATCAAGGTCAGAATACACTAGAAACACCAAAACAAGCACGCACGACAACACCCGAGGAAGAAGATTTTTTAAATGATCCAAATATTAGACATATCCCGATCAAAAGACCAAAGAACGATGCACGTAAGAATCTTCTCAACTCAATGGAAAATGCAAAAGGTAACGGTACAAGCAGCAATGGAATAATTCGAAAATGACACATCAGAGGAATAATTACCAACAAATAGATATGAACCAATCTAATCTAGGAAATAGTCATACCAATGTATCTATCTCACAACAGGCGCTACGATTTGCCGTCAACGATCGTTTTCCACCGTTGAAAATTGAGTGCAACCCAAAACTGCTGTACCAACAAAACTGGGCTCATCTGGTGAAAGAATTTGTAAAAGACATTGAACAAAATTTCCGTCAAGTGTATCCCCGATATCAATGCCCATTAGGGTTTGATCATTTCGATACAGATCGAAACGGTGATTTATTATGCTATACGAATTCGATAGAAATTTTTATCTTTCTATGTGACAACAAGCACTATCCTACCAGCATCAGTAATACATAGTTGAAGCCTATTTTACCCTTGAAACTACCCGTGCAGCATGTCATTATTATCAAATTCATTGATAATAACTTATCGATAGAAGATGTGAAAAAGGGAATTGAAGACAGATGGGAATCAGTGTATCTGATAGAAGAAATGACTGGTACAAAAAATCAACGGGTGTGTTCGTGTCGATTTATTATCGAGGGACGAATACGTAAATTCCTTAAACATTGGGAAAATCTCATTAGATGGTCAACTGTATGATGTAAGAGAATTTCGCCCAAACTACTCATATGCAACAAGTGTAACTACTCTGGGCACATGAAAAAGTATTGTCAACAAGACGTTGAGAGATGCAGACGATGTGGGAATGATAGGAATAACGGAAATGATCATAAAACATGTGAAATAAAATGCCAAGATTCATATCATTCATTCTATATCATGCATTTCAATATCATGCATCAATTTTTCGGAAAACTCCTAATTAGCTAGAACGAATGCATAATTTGAAACTGAAAACTTTTCTATTGTTGTGTATAAATTAGTATAGTAATACTCATTCTGATTTGTTTTAGTGAGTTATAAAATTTTCAGTTTCCATTGAAATAGCTTTCATTTTGCCTATAACCTTTCGCTCTCGAGTAACGGAAACATAACTCACGG